CCTTCCCCCACCCGGGGCGCTCTGCTCCCCTCCAGGCCGCTCCCCTCCGGCCCTCAGCCCAAGGGCCGCTCCCCTCCAGGCCGCCCTCCGCTCGCTGCAAGGTAACCCAGCTGTTCCTCTTTCTCTGAAGCACGCCCATCCTCTCACTGCCATGTAGACCGTGGGGAAAAGAATAAGCAAAGCTCACGTATCCCTTCAACTCGGGGCTGTGGAGACCCAGGGGCTCCGGGGGGAAGAAAGGGCTTTTCTAAGAGTGAAAATGCCCGCAGGCCTGCCGTGCACTCGAAAACCCCATTGCTGCGCTCTGCACAGCTTTGGCCCTGCCTCTGGCCCACCAGCACCCAGCTCACTCTGGCTTCCCTCAAGATGCCTTCCACACGTTCGTGCCTGGTTTCTACACCACAGGGCCATCTGAGTATGTCTGTTCATGCTCCAGGTCAAGCTGCGGTCTTCAATCCCAGTTATTTTCGTAAGTTGTCTACCCTGCACTGTCTCTAAAAACTTCACAAAGAGAGGATTTCAAAGCTGCCTCCTCTTCGCCCAAACTGGAAGCTGCATAAAACCTTCGGTTAACAAAAAGGAGCCAACAGCCATAGCTATTTAACCGTTTTTGTGATGTTTCTCTTATGGCTACATTTATCATCATAAAAAATTAATATTAAAAAGTCTTAGATGTCCTGAATGATAATAAAAATGATAACTGACTTTTTTGTAACCTTTTTAGATGTGTCTGTGTTAGGCACTTTAAAAGAATTGTATCAGTCTTCATAGCAACCTCGGAAAGTGGGGGGGGGGGGAACTCTGAACCAATTCTGCAGATGAGCAAGCTGAGCCCGTGTCCTGGCTGACAGGGAGGGAGTGCAGGAGTCAACACTAGCATCCAGGCGGGCCTGACCACAGCGCCCGGTGTCACCCTTCTAAGGCTCACTCATCCTAGTTTTGTGTTTAGGATTCATAGAAGTTAAAGCATTTATTGACCGCTGAGTGGAGGAATGAGCACTCTCTGCTCTATTACTGTGGAAAATAAATTTCAAGCCGACACACTTGTGGAAAAAAAATACATTTGGTTTCTTGTAAAATTAAGTTAATTTAAAAATAATTCAGGCAAGAAGGCAGTTTATATTATGCTTAGTTCTTCCTAGTCTGAGTTACACAT